GGTGTTATGCACAAACAATGAATCATGGAACACTACATCAAAAACTAATGATGTAATGTATGGTGATTAACATAACAATAAAAAAATTTAAAGGAGAGGAATGAAGCTATGCAAGGTCTGGGCAGGTTCTGTGCTCTCAGGAGAAAGGCAATCTAGGCTCCTCCCTATATAGGAGGAACCAAGTAGCCAGAAAATTTAGCAAAGTCAGATTTATCTTTGGGAATTTAGAGACAGTTGAGTAATTCTACTATGATTTTAAATGCACTTGTATAAAATGTATCTATCTGCTTCCTGCTGATGAAATTATTTTATAAAGAAGCCTCTGTTTCACAATTACACACACATAAATGATATAAAAATGAAAATGTGTGGGTTTAGATTTTACTAAAATATCCTCATCCACTGAGAACTTCCATCACCTGTCATTTTACCTCAACTCCTGTCATCATCAGCAACTTCAGTGTTCATCTACGATCCGCATTTCCTAACTCTGCATAAGTCACCTGATAAACTTTTACACAACGCTGATGTTTAGATCTTAGCTGCAAAGATTAGGACTTAATTATCTGGATGGGGCCCAGATATTCGTATTTAAGAGCTCTCTGGGTGACTTCAATGTACAGTGAGGACTGAGAGCCTCTAATCTAAATCACTGATCCAAAATCTAGCCTCCAAGTTTTCCTGATCTCAACTCCAGTAACATTCACCACCCTCTATCCCTACCATCATCCACTGGACTCTAATCACCCAGAACTGTCCTCTCTTGGAAACTCTGCGCTTCAAAATACCCACTGCCTATCCTTCTACCACGCTCTGGTCTTCAGCCTCACTGAGCCTTGCTCACTTCTTTCAACCCACTGTCCCTCTCACAGCCTTACCTCCTTTCTGAATCAGCCTATAACACATAATATCTTACCTCAGTAATTCTGAGTCAGAACCTTCAATATCCTTATCTTCCTGAGTCCACCACTCATCATGCAATCTTAAATCAATACAACAACTTGCTTTCTCCACTCCTAAACTGGGCTACTTAGGTAATAAAGCACACATTCCTGCAGACTGGTGCCCCTATAATACTGCAGTGCACAAGCCCACTGCCCCTCAGCCAGTCTTTTTAAACATCTCTAGTGAGGAGATACCAACAATGGCTACTCCCAATTCAAGGCTGGCCTCAAGTCGCCCTCTACCACCTGTACTTTCAGGGGATGATCTTGCTACCCCTTCAGAGAAAACAAAGGCTATTAGGTATGAACTTTCTCAAATCCATTCTCACACAATGACCTCGAGATCTGAAGGGCCCTTCTTATGTCTTTAGGACAACTAATTATTCCCATCTTAAAATTCACTCCTCCCCAGCTGCCTCCAATCTTAACTCTTTGAGCCAACTTCCACTGCAGTGTGTTCTATGACACAACACAGCATGCATAAATAATGCAGCATGGTGTAATAAATGGTGTAATGTAACTTTTTCCATGATTTGATCATGAATATTTCCCACTGTTACCTGAAATTACATTTCTGTATATAAATCCCTGCCTACATTTTACGGCTTCTACAACATTCTACTGAGGTCTATAAATGTTGTACCATTCAACACTCAGAATTGTTTTGAAGATTAAGAAGTTTATATATAAAAGCCCTCACTTACAGTAAGCAGGAACTAGTTAAATATGTAATTATAGTAAGTTACCACTTAAAAGTCATCCCCTCTCTAAATGTACCTTATATTATAATTTGGAGTCATGTGTTACATTAAGGAAAAAAACCTAATTAGAAAAGGAAAAAAAAAGGCAATTCCCCCAAATTGAAAACAAACTAAAACAAATCCAACTATATATCCAGTTGGTGGCAAAACCACAGAGAAAATTCTTTAAAGTATCCTTGAAATACAAATTCCTACAGGATATATCATTAGAAAGGTAGGGCTCCTAAGAATTTTTTTTCTAAAGTCATCCCTTTTTCCATCCCTGTATTACTCCCACATCATGTTCATCTATATCACTTTGTTTTGTTTTTCTAGGTAAAGTATAATTTTATCAAATTGAAAAGAATTTAACTCAAAGTTTAATTAGAAACTACAGTCTATAATAAGTACACAATCTATAAATAAAACCTGGAAAGAAATGACCTATAGTAATAATTAAGTCTACCCGTTCCGAAATATGGTAGGCCTCTTTCTTTCCTCTTTTTTTTTTTTTCCTGGTTGTCAAATGATCCTTTATTATTTCCTTTGTAGTTCTTAACTAGCCGGACATTCCATTGCACCACTATTGATGTCATCTATGATGTCATGAGGATGGCAGCCATCAACATTGCAGTCCACAGATTGGGCAGTCCCCAGGATCTCCTTAATGGTTCCAGAGAATTCTCTGGCTAAAGATCAGTGATGCATCTATCGAGCAATGTTGACAGTATCATCATAAGTGATATTTCGACTGTGCTTAAAGTTTTTCTGCTTCTTTCAGTCTCTTGGCGGTTCCTTGAGGGCTTTGACCATCAGGGCAGAGGCAGAAAATACCACTTCAATCTGGGCCTGTCTTTCTGAATGGTCAGTTTCACTGTAATCCTCAGATCCTTCCAAACATCAGTTGCTTTGGTGAGGTCATCACCAACCTCTACTGGAGAAAGACTCAGGAGGCCAATCTTGGGGTCCAGGGCAAACATAGCACCAACTTCCCCAACAGTGCACCCCAGGTATATGACTTGGATCTTGTTGGGGTTGGGATCTTGGAACTTAGGCAGCGTGGTGAAGGCAGCTGGTGTCAGGATGAACCCGAATTTGGGACTACCAAGACAGTTGCACCTTCACTTCCTCTAAGCCAAAAACCAAAAAACCCATCTTTTATCATTTTAGATCAACCCCAGCCTAAGTTGTAACGCAGGCCAAAAGACAATGTTGAAAGTATATTATCCATCTAAGTGGGTCGTAGGACTTACAGAATATAGAAGTAAAAAAAAAAAAAACAAAAACCCAACATACAAATATTTGTACCCTTTGATGGTGTATGATGAATCTATAATATATCCACATAGTATGACCACAACCCAAATCCCCTGGTGCTTAGAAAGGGCCTGTGTAAAAGTTTAAGATTGACAGCTTCTTGACCCTCCCCAAACTTTCCCTTGGGTCTCTGCAGAGGATTTTGGGGAGAAAGTGCATATATTCACTCAATAAACACAAAACTCTTACTATGTGCCACATACTAGATGGTGCTGGGAATACAATAATAAGCAAAATAGCAAGCTCCTTGAGAAGAGAAAAGTCCTAATTAAAAATTTCCAATTCCCAAAGCAACAGAGAGACAAGTAAGTAGGACAGTATACTAAAAGCTGCCTGCCTGCCCCTGATCTGCCCCTACTTCATAATTTCACATATCCAATTTGCAAACATTTTTAGGAACACAAAAATAGGTGACAGCCAAAAGTAGGAGCAGGTGCTTAAATACTCCTTAACTGACAGTCCAACTTTATAAAGCCTCAAATTTTCTTCAGAAATTCAATATAAAAATCCGCCATTTTTAGAAATTTAAATAAGAAATATGAAATATAGATTATCTACAAAAACGTTGCCTTTTATTTTCAAACTTTTAATTTTTAAAATATAAGCTTAATCTGTCTATATTTCAACTTAGACTGGTCAATTTTTGGCACTTAAAGATTTTGCTAGGCCTAGCTTTGGTGTACCAAATTCACTTAGATATTAGGTTTTGAATTATTCTACATCAGTAGCAACTTACACTGGGGTGATTTCGAGGAGGTACTCGTTCTCTTGGAAGTCTTTCATAGTCATATCGTCCTTCAGACCACATTTCATCTCTTCTGTAAGCCACTAAACAAAAAGAAACCAAAGAATTATGGTTTTTATGTTATTAGAAACAAGAGAAGATTTTTAAAAGAGTAGTTACATTTTTTTAAGTATCTCTGGAAAATATTTGTTGGAATGTAAGTGACCAAAAGGAAAAAAGGAACGACTAAGGCAATTCTTCTTCCAAACAATTCGGAAACGTTCTTTTTAAAAAAATGTAATAGAAAGCCCCACGTTCCATTTCAAAGTCTATTTAAAGCTCCAAAGAGCTTGTTCCCAAAAACTGTGGTAAAAAGATCCATAAGACCACAAATATTTTTTCATTCTTATAGTAAAAATTAGAAAAGATTAATTTTCATGAATAATTTACAATGCTGATCAGCAATGCTGCTCCTATTTCCTGGTGGATGGTTTCTATAACACTAGTTTCTAGTGTTGCTGCATTCCTAGAGCTTTATCTCGTCTATGTGTTCAATGAAATGGTTTTAACTGAAAAGTGTTAAATAAACAATCCTATAAACACACATTCAACAAACCCTGAAATAAATCACTCTCCATTTTGCTTTTAATGCTATAAATTTATTTTAATGCAAAGGCACTCTCGTAAAATTTGAAATTAAAATAAAAGTTATGTCAGCATTTTTCATGTTTGGGATACAGAAAGAAGCTTCCTACTTTAAGAGCTGATGTGTTCTGGATAGAGGGCTAATGCAGTTCATTATAGAATCCAGATGAAAACAATAAGTGAACAGGCAAAAGACAAGGTAAGCAAGACAAACAAGAGATGATGAGCAGAGGGTGCAGGAAACAGCCTGAAGGTCATTTATATAAAGTGGAACACAGTGGATCAGGGGTTGGCAAACTTTTTTTATAAAGGACCAGACTAATATTTTCAGCCTTGCAGGTCACAGGTCTCTGTCACAACTACTCAATTCTACTGTTATAATATGAAAGCAGCCATAAGCAATACATATAAATGTAGGGGTGTGGCTGTGTTCCAAAAAAAAATTGTATTTACAAAAACAGGCAGGCAGTCCACAGGCAGCAGCTCAACAACCACCAGAGTAGATGAGAAATAGTTAACAGAACAGAACGAGGAGAAAGTGAAGCAGGTTCTGACCCAAGAACTATGAACCATCCTGATACACAGAAGGATAATCACAAGTGAGAAGTGAAAAATGGGACAAGTACTAAGTCAGGACCTGTGTAGTACATAGAAAATAGGGCAACAAGTCGAGACACAGAGTCTGCAGATTTGTGGAAAAGGAAAATTTCTCAGGGAAGATACATGTCAAAAGATTTTTGGTGGCTCTTTACAATGTAATAGCACTAAGAGCAGGGGCGGGGAGAGATGACATTCCATTTTGGCAGTATAGCATTCTAATGGTTTAGGCTAAGAAAAAAAACAAAGGCTGGAAGATGAGGGCAATATTTTTTGACACTATCCACAGTACAATCTTAATTTCCTCTGTAAAAACAGACCTACAATATTTTCTAATACAAACAGACGCAATAAAATGAACTAACTCAAAGATGCCTAGAAAAATCTTAATTTAAGTTACAAATTAGCTTTTAACATCATACATAAATCAACCTAAATTCCAACTCCATAATCAGACATCATCAAGAATATTTTTCAGAGGCCCCTGGGTGGCTCATTTGGTTAAGTACCTGCCTTCAGCTCAGGTCATGATCTCAGGGTCCTCTCCCTCTGCCCCTCTGCCCTCCCCCTACTCTGCACGCTCTAAGTAAAATCTTTAAAAAAAAAAAAAAAGAGAGAGAGAATGTTATTTCAAAGTAACCAGTCTTTTATGTACAAGAATTGATGGAAGCTTGAAAGAAAAAAAAGAAATTATCAAAATTACTCCTCCTATACCACTTTTACTGAACTCACCAAATTTTTACTGACTTGTTTATCCTACTTGAGAAACAATACAGAGAAATAACAGCAACCAACTGCAATCAAATCACAGAAAAAAAAAATGGACAAATGAAGACAGTTCACAAAAAAAGGAAATACAATGACTCATTCTTTTGAAAAGATGCTCAACTTTCTTCAAAATAAGATAAAAACTAAAACTATAATGGGGTACTCATTTTCACCCAAAGCTCTGCAAAACTCAAACTGCTCTGACGAGAGTAAGAAAAGTAATACTCTCATATATTAATGAAACGAGTATAATTTGGTACAGACTGGGAAAAATGGGCAATATCTATTAAATGTTACACATATGTTTGGCCTGGAAATTCTACTTCTCTGTATACTTGAACAGGTACATAGTAAAGATTGAAAGCAACATAAAATGTTGGTCAGGAGGACAGATTAAATAAAATGCTGTACATTCAAATAAAGGAATATTATGCAAACCATTTCAAAGAAAAGTAACATCATATATAATATTGAAGGAATGCCAAGATACACTGATTTAAAAAAAAAAAACAAAGGGTAGATTAATATATTGAATATGCTGCCACTATGGGAAAATAAAAAGATAGGGTATGAATACATATCCATATGCACAGACTACTTCTGGGAGTATAAGCAGGAGAAATGTAACAGTGCCTGCCACTGGGTGCCTGGGTATAGGAAGGTGAATATTTTCACTGCATAATGTTCTATACCTCCTATTATCTCTAACAAAAATAAGTAACTATATTTAAAGGTCCCGGAAATCATTCAATAAGCATAATGGGTCAGGGTGCCTGGCGGCCTCAGTGGGAGGAGCATGTGACCTTTGATCTCAGGGTTTTGAGTTTGAGCCCCATGTGGGGTATAGAGATTACTTAAATAAGTAAAACTTAAAAAAATAAGCATAACATCTCAAGTGATGGCAAAAAATTATGAATATAAATTGAGCTAAAGGAAAACAAGTAAAAATAAGACTTTGTATTTAAGAAAACTACAAGAGTTCTAAGGAAATACTATATAGTTTCTTAACTAGATATAATGTTACAATATTAAAATTACTGGCTTCCCACACACACAAAAAAATGTAAGAATAACTACTAAACTACTTACTTGAGTCCTTTCAGGAATCAAATTTAAAGTTTTCAACAATCTCCTGTAGGAGGGGGGGAAAAATACAGACATAAGATTTTGTGTCTGTATAAACCAACCGATGGAGAAAAATAACCCTTCATTATTTGTATAAATAAAACTCTCAAAATAAAAAAAATTATGACCATTAATTAATAAGCCAAACTCCCTTCAAACACATCTTTAAAACAGAAGATATTCTTTTGACCACCAGAGGCCACCCAAGTTTCATAAGAACAACCAAATAATATTAAAGAATTTTCATCCTAATTTTGCCAGTTGAGGGCTGGGCAGAGCATCTCTCTTATCCTTAATCTCTGAAAGAATTGCATTAGATGTTTAATTTTTACCTAGAATATTAAGATTAAACTATCTCACATATTGAAAAAATTCTAGCATCCTTAGTCTGGAAATCCTTACAATTTTATATCGGCAATAAATGGTCCCACGTTCAAGTCATCTCAAAATCAAGGCAAGAATCATCAACTCATCAAAGATTATTAAACTAACTAGGTAAAAATTTGATGGAGAACTTTTTGTTTTTCCGCATTTTTTTAGTATAGTTGACACCCATTACATTAGTTTCAGGTGTATGACAGAGTAAATATATATTATGCTGTCTATACTCACAAGCGTAGCTACCACCTGTCACCATACATCACTGTTAGAATCATCATTGACTATATTCTCTATGCTGTACTTTTTACTCCTGTGACTTTATTCTAGAACTCGAAGCCTGTATCTCCCACAACAGAGAACTTTTTAAAACTTTCTCCCAAGGGGCTCCTGGGTTGCTCAGTTAGTTAAGCATCTGCCTTCAGCTCAGGTCATGATCCCAGGGTCCCAGATCCAGCTAAACCATCAGCTCCCTCTGCCCTCCCCCTGCTCGTGCACACACGTTCTTTGTCAAATAAATAAAATCTTTAAATAAATAACAACTTTAAAAAATTACTATGTATTTTCAGAATAAAGAATATAAAAATAGAAGACAATAAAAGACTAAAAATATATATGCACTAGTGGTATTGCTCATAGGGCACTCATTTTTTTCTTGATTATTCTTTTCACTTAATCCACGTTTTTATTTAAATTCAAGTTAGTTAACATACAGTACAATGTTGGTTTCAGTGTAGGATTTTGTGATTCATCACTTACATATGGTACCTGGTGCTCATCACAGCAAGTTCCCTCCTTAATACCTATCACCCATTTAGCCCATCCCCCTGTCCACAAAACCAACCAAAAAAAAACAAAAAACAAAAAACCCCAAAAAAGATACTGATATTTTATTAAGACTAAACAGAGCTTGCTGGAGCAAAATAATTAGCATCCACCAGGATAAAATATCCACCCCTCCCCCTCCGCAAAAAAACAAAAAACAAAAAACCCGCACAGGGGCGCCTGGGTGGCTCAGTCGTCAAGCGGCTGCCTTCGGCTCAGGTCGTGATCCCAGAGTCCTGGGACAGGCCCCGCATCAGGCTCCCTGCTCAGCGGGAAGCCTGCGTCTCCCTTTCACACTCCCCCTGCTTGTGTTCCCTCTCTGGCTGTGTCTCTCTCTGTCAAATAAATAAATAAAATCTTAAAAAAACAAAACAAAACCCGCACTGGTGAGGCCCATGTCAAATTATTAAACGTCCTTCATCCTTAAGAAATCTATATAATTAGGGAAAGAGGAGTAAAAATATTCCCTATACAACCTTGTACTGTTAGTAAAACAAAACAGAAGACACAGTTTGATTACATACAAAAGAAAAGAAAGAATATTGGACTATAAAGAAGGTAAGTCCTAAGCTGGATCTTGAATTAAAACAACAGAAAGGGGAAAAGATAATCTATTCAGCAACCTTCTGATTAGTAGCACATGTTGTTTATGACATTATCCAGATTTAGGAAATTGCCCCATCCCACAACTAGAAGCCAATCAGCTAAATTTAAGCAAAGATACTCTCTCATTGAAGTGATCATGTTACTGTGTAATCACTAATCT